GCCTCCCTTCCCGGCCTCTCCTCTACCAGCTGCCCACTCTCGGACCCCAGAATGGTCACTCGTCCCTGGCAGAAATGACACCCACAGTTTCTGGTGCAACACCTCCCCTGCCCCCACAACCTGCTCTCCACATGGCAGCCAAAGGATCTGTTAACATCGAAGTCAGTTCACATCCTCTGTTCAAACTGCGGCAGCCCCCACCTCACCGGGCACGAATGCCAGTCCTGGCAGTGGCCAACGAGCCCCAGCATCTCTCAGGCCTCCCCTTCTTCCTTCTCTCCATCACTGCTCTGCTCTGCTCCAGCCACCTGCTGGGCGAAGCTCCACCCTGCCGTGAGAGACCCCGACACCTGCCCACCGCGGCCACTTTTCCTCCTACATCTGTCTGCCCAGATGGCACCCTAGCGTGGCCTTCCTTGGCAACTCCCCCCGCGGCCAGCTTCCCTGCGAGTTTATCACGTATTTCATAGCCAGGAAGGAAGTCTGGGGACGCTGGGGACTTTTGCTTCATGACGGAAGGTGTCAGTAACCCCCAAGGTGTTTCCCTGCTCCAGCCCCTGACCAGCAAGGTGGGGGTGGGCACTTGGTACAATGGTTAAGATGCTGCTTGGGGTGCCCACATCCCTTTCCAAGTGCCTGGGTTCAAGTCCCAGCTGCACTTCTGATTCCAGCTTCCTGCTAATGCACACTCTGGGAAACAGGAAGTGATGGCTCCGGGGCTTGGGTCCCTGCCACCCATGTGGGAGACCTGGATGAAGGTCTGGGCTGCTGGCTCCAGCCTGGCGCAGCCATGGCTGTTGCAAGCATTTGGTTGGTAAACCAGCAAATGGAAGACCTCTCTGTCTCGCTACCGTCCAAATGAAACAAAAATCAACAGCAAAAGGAAGAACGTTCCTGGCAGAGAAAATGGTGGAAAGTCCTTGACATTGTTCCAATCCGTGTCCAGTGGCTGGTGGGGCTGGGAAGCAGAGGCAGAGGAAACTGGATCTTGGAGGGCCTGGATAGGTGGACAGAGGCCAAGGGAAGTAGGGCCCTGAGGGTCAAGTTCAGAATCTTGCACCTCCAAACCCATTCCATCCTCTGAATCCCACTCCATCTGAATGACTCTCTCCTTTCCTCAAACATCCATCCTTAGACTTTATCCTTTTTACAAACACAAGAAAGAAAACTTCTACATTCACCAAACCTTCCCAAGTGCCAGAATCTGCACCATTTCAGATCCTCAACACAAAGACTCAGGGCTCCTCAGGGAGACCAACCTACGCCCCAGCCTCCACACCTCCTCCTCCACTCAGATACTGCTCTGTCCTGCATCTGCTCACGGCACCCTGGCTTCCCAGTCTGCCTGAAAATGCAAAGGGGATGGGGTGGGTGGGCAGTTAGCTGGAGATGCCTGCATCCCGTATCAGACAGCTTGGTCCGAACTACTTCACTTCCAATCCAGTGTCCTGCTAATGTGCACCCTGGGAGGTAAAAGATAATGATTGGAATTCCAGTTGGGGTTTAGCACTGGAGTGAGGTTGTGGCATCTCACAACCTCACCTGTGGATGATGACACCATCGGGGACCTGAAGGAGCTGACTGCAGCCTGAGCTGGCACCCGTTGGAGCAAGATCGGTTAAGAAGGGTACACGATTTTCAAGGACCGCATGTCGCTGTGGGCCGGTGACATCCACGACAGGACTGATCTGGAGCTTTATTGCCAATAGAGCGGAATTCCTTCCCCCCACTTCGCCCTTCTGCCCCCACCCTCAACCCCTCCACAGCTATGGATGCTTGTTTTTAAGAATTTACATTAATAAAAACCTAGATGCTGAAAAGAAAAAAAAAAGATAATGGTTCAAGTACTTGGGTCCCTGCCACCCACACAGGAGACCCAGACTCAGTCCCAAGATTCTGACTTCAGCTTGGCCCAGTCCTGGCTGTTGCAGGCATTAGAGAAATGAACCAGCAGGTGGGGGGCCGGCGCTGTGGAGCAGAGGGTAAAGCCGCTGCCTGTGACACCAGCAGTCCATATGGGCACTGGCAGGTTCCTGTTCTGGCTGCTTCGCTTCTGATCTAGCTCCCTACTAATGGCCTGGGAAAAGTAGATGAAGATGGCCCAAATGAGTAGATCCCCACTACCCACCAGGGAGACCTGGAGGAAGCTCCTGGCTCCTGGCTCCAGCCTGGCCCCACCCTGGCCTTTGTGGCCACCTGGGGAGCGAACCTGCTGATGCAAGATCTCTTTCTAGCTGCTCTGTCTCTCATTCTCTCCCCCTGCCTTTCAAATGAAGTGAAAATAGTTTTTTAAAAAGAAAGAAAATCTAATGGGATCTTATTTCCCCTCCTAAATGTGATTTTCCAACAGCTTTCTCCTTCTTGTTTGTAACCCCAGCTCCAAATGCCCAGGCCAAAAGTCTTGTATCATCGCTGACTGCTCACTTCCTCTCCTGCCTCAGACCAGCCTATCAGCAAACAACACTTGCTTAAATCCAAAATGCCTCCTCCCTGGGGAATTAAGTCATGATGTCCAGTATTATGTATGCTTTCCCTACATTTGATATCCTTTTATTTATTTATTTATTTGACAGGCAGAGTTAGACAGTGAGAGAGACAGAGAGAAAGGTCTTCCTTTTTCCATTGGTTCACCCCACAAGTGGCCGCTACAGCCGGTGCTGCGCTGCACTGATCCGAAGCCAGGAGCTTCCTCCTGGTCTCCCATGGGGTGCAGGGCCCAAGCACTTGGGCCATCCTCCACTGCACTCCCGGGCCACAGCAGAGAGCTGGACTGGAAAAGGAGCAACTGGGACAGAACCAGCGCCCCGACCGGGACTAGAACCTGGAGTGCCAGCGCCGTAGGCGGAGGATTAGCCTAGTGAGCCGCAGCACCGGCCTATCCTTTTATTTTTCAAGACCCAAAACCTGCTGTGAGAAAGTAATCTGATTATGGTTTCTGAATAAAATGTAACTAATTTTAAAAAAATGCCTCTTCTTAGCCGGCGCCGTGGCTCACTAGGCTAATCCTCCGCCTTGCGGCGCCGGCACACCGGGTTCTAGTCCCAGTCGGGGCGCCGGATTCTGTCCCGGTTGCCCCTCTTCCAGGCCAGCTCTCTGCTGTGGCCAGGGAGTGCAGTGGAGGATGGCCCAAGTGCTTGGGCCCTGCACCCCATGGGAGACCAGGAAAAGCACCTGGCTCCTGGCTCCTGCCATCGGATCAGCGTGGTGCGCCAGCCGCAGTGCACCCGCCGCGGCGGCCATTGGAGGGTGAACCAACGGCAAAGGAAGACCTTTCTCTCTGTCTCTCTCTCTCACTGTCCACTCTGCCTGTCAAAAATAAAAAAAAAATAAAAAAAAAATAAAAAAAAAATGCCTCTTCTTCTTATCTCTGCCAATGCTACCAAGAGGTCCCAACAACCAACATCTCTTTCCTGTATTATCCCAAGAACCTCTTTTTTTTTTTAAAAAAGAAAGGTTTGGGGCCAGCACTGTAGTACAGTGGGTAGAGCTGCCGCCTGCAGTGCTGCCATCCCATATGGACGCAGGTTTGAGTCCCAGCTGTTCCACTTTTGATCCTGCTCCCTGCCTTGGCCTGGAATAGCAGTAGAAGATGGCCCAAGTCCTTAGGCCCCTGCACCCGCGTGGGAGACCTGGAAGAAGCTCCTGGCTTCAGATCAGCACAGCTCCGGCCGTTGCAGGCAGTTGGGGAGTGAACCAGTGGATGGAAGACCTCTCTCTCTTTCTCTCTGCCTCTCTGCTCTCTGTGTAACTCTGACTTTCAAATAAATAAATAAATCGCAAAAAAATAAAAAATAAAGTTTCACCTACATTCACCTGCTTGAAAGGCAGGTGACAGAGAGATCTTCTATCACTCTCCCCAAATGCCCACAACATCCAGGGCTGGGTCAAGCTAAAGCCAGGAGCCCAGAGCTCCATCCGGGTCTCCCATGTGGGTGGCAGGGACCCAAGTACTTGAGCCTGTACCTGCTGCCTCCCAGGGTGCACTAGCAGGAAGCTGGGTGGGAAGTGGAATTTGCACTCCAGCACGGGGCGTGGGTGTTGACCCACTGGGCTACAAAGCCCTCCCCAGAGGCCTCGGGTGTCTGCTGCAGCCCCTGCCCTCTATGGTCAACAGAGCAGCGGCGATGCTTTCACAGTGGTGCGATCACCCACATCTCTCCGGGTAGCAGCCAGCGCTCTCCAGAGTCTACAATAGACCCGCCGCTTACCGCATCTCCCCAGCTTCCCTCTCCTTAGCTCCCGGATCACAGGATAACCTTGATGCTGCTGCAGCGCACCAGGCCTGCTCGCTGCCTCCCTTCCCCAGGACTTGCTCCAGTGCCCCCTGGTGGAGAGGTCTCCCCTGACCACCCTATCAGAACCACCACCCCACCCCACCCTAGCACTTCTAGCCCAAGTTCCCGCTTTGTGCGTCTCCACCCGTGCGTCACCTGACCTGTGCTATGTACTTCACTTACTTGGCTCACTGTCTGTCTCCCCCACTGGAATGTCAGCTCTGCCGGGGCAGGCTATCTTGTCCCGAGGCGCGTGTCTACTGCCTAGAATACTGTCGGATACAGCAGATACTTAACAAAAAATGTACTGGATAAAAAAGCCGAAATCGAAAACTGTTGCACCCCTGACCATATAATAAACCTCAAACTCCTTACAGTGACTTCCAGAGTTTTAGGACCCGGGGACTCAGGCCCTGTTCACTGCTGCCACTTCCCCTCCTATCATCTCCCTCCCGCCGCCGGCTTTCCTCGGTTCCAGGAACGCGGCCGGCTTCAAGGCCCTGGCACATGCCATTCGCTCTACCTGCTGAGCTTTCCCATACACGATCGCAGGCCTGGCCTGGTGAAGGACCCCTCCCGGGGCCAGGGATCCTCACCGGGCGGGACGAACCTACAATCCCGTACCTGGCGCGCCAATAGCACCCGGAGCTGCAAAGCTGCAACCCTGATGGAGCGTCTGCCACTCAATTCACCTCTGACCCGTTAGCGCCCGCCCACCTCCTACAACTGGAGAACAACTTCCTATCTGGGAGCCAATCAGCGGGCCCGCGTCCTGATGTTAGCGCAAGGGGTGGGACCGGCAGCTCCGTTTCCGGTGGCAGGGTCTGGGGAAGGGGCGGCAGGCGCCATGTCCGGCCGGGAAGGTAAGTGTGCCGGGGGCAGTGTGGGCGGTGGGGTCGGTGGGGTCGGTGGAGACGGCGGGGCGGACTGAGCGTGCTCGAGCCTCCCGCAGGTGGCAAGAAGAAGCCCCTGAAACAGCCCAAGAAGCAGGCCAAGGAGATGGATGAGGTGAGAGCGGGCGCGAAGGCGCGGGTGGGTGCGGAGGGATTGGGGAACCGGGCTGGAGTGACCTCGCTGTTCGTGCCCCCAGGAAGATAAGGCTTTCAAGCAAAAACAGAAAGAGGAGCAGAAGAAACTCGAGGAGCTAAAAGCGAAGGCGGCGGGGAAGGGCCCCCTGGGTAAGTGAGGCCGCGGGGGCTGGACAGACGCGCTGAGCACCTGTTGGGAAGAAGGCCCGAGCAGGTCTGCGTGCTGGCCCGTTGGTCGGCTGTGGGGTCTCGGTTCCCGGTGACGGACTTGGAGCAGCGGGAAGGGGCAGGAGCCAGAAGCGGGACCAGAAAGAAGTCTCTAGTCTGGACTCCCATTTCTTGGGGAAGCTGTAGAAACACAGGAATTTACCGCAGACACAGGTTCATAGCATTAAATTCCTACGACTTCCCGTCCCAGATCTACATTTTACTACGTCTTCAGTGCTGGTAACATGACTCGACTTTGAACATTCGAACTTACTGCTCATGTTGTCTCTTAACAAGTGCTTTTGTGTCTTGAGTGAACTTCTAGACCAAAAGGTAAAAAGTCTGGGCTCCTTGGTGGACTGTTCGATCTGCTTTCCTAAGCTAGCTCTCCACCATTTTGCCACTTCTTTTCCTTTATAAAAGAGGAATTGATTACATTTCAAAAGATTTTCCAGAGTTCCATTCCCTGGTTCACTCCCCCAAATGCCACACGAAGAGCTGGGGATACAATCTCGATGTCACCCTAGGGTGGCAGGGACCCAGCTGCCTGAGCCACCACCACTGTCTCCCAGGGTCTGCATTGGCAGGAAGCTGAAGCGGGAATCCAACCCAGACACTCAGGTGTGCGATGCAAGTGTCTGACCACTAGGCTCAGTGCCTACTCCGACTCCTAATGTTTCATTAGCTGCTTTTGTTTTTGAAGATTTATTCTATTTATTTGAAAAGCAGAGTTAGAAACAGAGATCTTCCATTTGCCAGTTCACTCCCCAGGTGGCCACAATGACCAGGGTTGGGCCAGACTGAAACCAGGAACTAGGAGCCTCTTCCAGGTCTCCTATGTGGGTTCAGGGGCCCAAACACTTGAACCATCATCCGTTGCTTTCTCAGATGCATTAGCAGGGAGCTGGATCAGAATTGGAGCAGCTGGGACTCTAACCAGCGCCCATATGGGATGCCGGCATTGCAGGCAGTAACTTAACCAGCTGTGCCACAACACTGGCCACCTGTTAACTTCTTCTTCCTTTTTTTTTTTTTTCCTTAAGATTCTTTTATTTGTTTGGAAGGCACTTACAGAAAGGCAGAGGCAGAGAGACAGAGATCTTCCATCTGCTGGTTTATTCCCCAAACTGTCACAATGCCCCAGGCTGGGCCAATCCGAAGCTAGAAGCTAAGAGCTTCCTCTGGGTCTCCCACTCGGGTGCAGGGGCCCAAGGACTTGGGCCACCTTCTACTGCTTTCCCAGGCCATAGCAGAGCTGGATCCGAAGTGGAGCAGCCAGGTCTTGAATCGGCGCCCGTATGGGATGTGGGCACTGCAGGCAGCGGCTCAACCCACTGCGCCGCAGCTAGTGATGATTTCCTTGTTCAGCGCTGTCAGCCGCCCTGGGCATGGTGGAGGCAGGGAGGGAGGGAGTGTTGCCAGGGCTGCCGACACCTTTGTCCCAGTGTGTTTGATCCAGTATTTCTCACCCATACAGTGCTGAGATTCCTTTTCAGAATGAAACAACGTTTCTTGTAGCTACCCTTGACCTGTGATTCTGTATCAGGAAAAGGTCAATCCTTGGTAAGCCTATGCACGCTGAACATCCCTAATTCTAATAGCTGAAACCTGAAATGCTCCAAACCCGACACTTTGAGCATCGATATTATATCACAAATGGAAGATCCCACACCTGGCCTCATGTGACAGGTCACAGTCAAAATGCAAGTGCACTAAAAGTACTGTATAGGCGCAGGCATTTAATAGAGCTGTTAAGACACCACTTGGAGTACCTGGAGTCCATATCAGAGTGTCTGGGCTCCAGCCCTGGCTCCATTCCCAGCCCAGTTTCCTGCTGTTGTACACTCTGGCAGGCAGCAGGTGATGGCTCAAGGACTTGGGTCCCTGCCACCAAGGTGGGAAACCTGGATTGAGTTCATTGAACATCAGCTAACTTTGAAAGCTTTATTTTGTTGTGGCCCTTTTTGTATTTTCATTCCTATATTAGGCATCTTTCATTCTCTAATTAAGTTGCTTACTGGGTGCAAAATACGTTGTCAGTTGTAAATTGAGTACTGTAAATGTGGTGAGTGACTGAGATGCCAGGATCATAACATGGAAGGTAATAGATGGTGTAGTGTAATGTGGCAGTTAAGAATATGGACGGGGGTTGGACTCGCAGTTCCTGCTTCCTGCTAGCGTAGACCATGGCCGGCAGCAAGTAATGACTCAAGTAATTGGGTTCTTGACACCCATGTAGGAGACCTGAATTGACTTCCAGATCCTGGCTGCGGTGGGCGTTTGAGGAGTGAACTAGTGGGTGGGAACTCTGTGTCTCCATCTCTGTCTGTCTTTCTGCCCCTTAAATGAATGAGTGAACATGGACTTGGGAGTTAGACTACCTGGTTTGGAATCCTGGTTCATCACATGCCAGCTTATTACTTTGAACAGTGCCTAACACAAGACCTGTAGGGGCTGGCCCTATGGTGCAGTAGGTTAGTCCTCCACCTGCAGCACTAGCATCCCATATGGGTGCCGGTTCTAGTCCCGGTTGCTCCTCTTCCAGTCCAGCTCTCAGCTGTGGCCTGGGAAAGCAGTAGAAGATGGCCCAAGTGCTTGGGCCCCTGCATCCACATGGGAGACCAGGAAAAAGCACCTGGCTCCTGGCTTCTGACTGGCACAGCTCTGGCCATTGTGGCCATTTGGGGAGTGAACCAACGGAAGGAAGACCTTTCTCTCTGTCTCTCCCTCTCACTGTCTGTAACTCTACCTCTAAAATGAGTTGTGGCATGGAGAGTAAGACCAGAACAGAAAGCTGAAAGGCCACTCTGCATCTTTTTGTCAAGATAGACCCCCAGACTGAGAGCCACACTTTACCAGGGTCTACATCAGACCCATGGGACTTCTCCCATAGGAACGGTTTCTCTCTAACGGGATTTTTTTTTTTTTTCCTTTCCTTTTGCAGCCACAGGTGGAATTAAGAAATCTGGCAAAAAGTAAGCTGTTCCTTGTGCCTGAAGTGATGACGCCCTTGATTGCATTCCTAGCTAAACATCTCGATTCCCGGCCATAACATCTTATGCCACCGTAGTTAGAATGAAGTGTTAAGAGTTAAGTGTTATCTTGGAGCCTGTTGTACATTTACAAATAAAATTTTGTAAAAAGGGGAATAAACTCCACTGTACTGTAGCTCACTGTCTTAGTTGTTTTCACTCAGCCACTCCCAGCTGTGAATTTAAAGTAAACCCAGCCGAGAACCCTTCCAGAGTCTGCTCTTTGCTCTCCAAATTCTGTGTCACCTGGAATTAAACCACGGCATTGGAAAGGCTGTAGCTCCTGTGTGGTTGTGTACCTGACAATACCTTACATGAGATTTGTGGAAGAAGTACTTGGGAAGGAAAACGTGGCTCCTCTTTCTCTGCTACAGTACGCACGTGTGCTGTGTGTGGCCACCGGGCCAGTGCCAGTAAACAGCCAGCGTCAGCGAGCAACTTCCTGTCGTGGGAGGGGGACAAGACGAATACAGGAGATGTGCACCGTGAAAGGGGAAAGAAGGGAGTGAGATTCCTGAACGTCTCTTCAGTATCAGACTCCCCCAGAAGCCCTAGGGACAACATTTGCACTAAGGTCCTTGCTGGGGTCCCATGTTAGACCTCACATCCAGTCCATGAGCAAAATCAGATTACCTTAGTGTCCTCTCAGCGCCATGTGCCCACTGCAGCTCTGACCCTTCACCTGTATGACTGCAGTTGCCTCCAGAGTTCACTCGGGTCCAGAGCGCGCTTGCTGAACCGTGAGTCATACTTTGTTTCTTGGCTCAGAGTTAGCAACGCCACAGTGCAAAGGGGTATGGATGCCACTGCCTTATATGCATTACCCAGCCCCCGGTCCTCCTCAGCCAGCGGCTTGAGGCCAGCTCCCAGCTCCTTTCCACCTGCACGTTCTCATAGATGCTGAACACTCCCTGTATTCCTCAGAAGACCAAAACTCCGCCATCACAATAGTGAGCTCTCCTGCTAACAATGAGTTTGCAGTCAGTCCCATTGTCTTTATTTTTCTCTCCCAGTTATCTACCATCTCTGACTAAAATGTAAACGTTAGGACAGTGACCATAAGGTGTGCTAAATGTGGAGGTACTCCAAAGTCTGCAGGAAGTGGGAGTTTATTTTGGTGGCAAAATATTTTGAAGCCCATGATAGTCACATGTATTTATTGTATCACTTCAGAAGCACAAGTGCAGGCCATTGATGCAGCTATGGGACTAAAGCTAAGCTTTCTCTGAGGATGTCCTCAGAGAGGCTTGTAGGCTTGGCCAGGTGAAAACTGGAAAAGTGACAGATTAAACCCTGTCCTGTGATTAACGTAGTCGATGGTGACAGGGTGCTTTGGTCCTCTGGGAAGTTGCACAACTAGCAGCTCCTCTGGGCTGCAGAACATTTCCCATGGGGCCTTGCAAGCTGGCACCCCGCAGTGTGCTGTCAAAATCAGTCCTTGCACCGCCCGTGAGAGCACACTGCCTCTGAGAGCAAGTCGCTGCTCTCTGGCAGAATCTAATCCCTCCTGATGGGTGATCCTGTCTTTCCAAGGCCAGAGACCTACAGCAATTAATATGGAAGCATTCGACATTTGTGCAGCCGAGTTTCAGAAAACACGAAAGCCTTCTAGGACTTGACAGCAGTCTGCCCTCACAGGTATTGGTAGGAGACTCAGGCTCAGTTTGGCACTGAGTACCCAAGGTTTAAGAATCTTGCTCCTGTTACTCTCCGTGCCAATCTCCCCTGTTCAACTGCTCTGCGCACCGCAGCTACCACTCTGGGAAGCCTTACTGTCTGCCATAGATTACCAACACCTGGCCTGCCTTGGGTGGGGAATTCTGCGCTAGCCTTCTACCCCTTTATCTTGCTGTCTCCCACCTGACAACCTGTAGGACAGCCCAGGTGCCACTTCGGGGGGGGGGGGGGGCTCTTCCTTGACCTGACCCTCACTCATCTTTATACAACCAGTGCTTGTGACAAATATGCTCCAGCAATCTCCGAGAGAATGAATGAATGAATGAATGAAAGAAGTCTGAGCACTTCCCACACGGATGGTTCTCCTTGGACCTGTCTTCCCGAAACCTACCTCAAATGCCACACATTTCACACTCCTCGCCTAATCTCCCTAAAGGAGCCTCGGAGTATGTGATGGAAAGAGGCAGCGAGCTCTCGGGGGCCAGAACCCTGAACTCTGCCTGCCTCGATTCAAACGCACAAGGGTGACTGTCAGGGCGAACTGTCCCCCGCAGTTCTGTGCTCTGCTGGGCGCCAGGCAACCTCGAGGTTTCCCCGAAAACCCCCGGCGCCGGAGCCGGGCTCAGCTGGGCGGAGAGGGGCGGGGCGCCATCGACACTGGCGGGGACTCGGCCGAGCCTGGCGGCGCGCTCGGAGAGACGTCATTTCTCCGCGCTCGCGGGCCGGCAGCTGATTGGCCCGTGGGGTCGGGGGCGGTGCATAAGAGGCTGAGGCGAGTGCCGGCTCGCGGGCGGTTGGCTCGCCGGCGGCTTCGCGCTGCCGTGTGGGATTTGGCGTCTTCAGATGCTTGGGGCCGGCTGGAGGCATGGCTGGGACCTCCGCGCCGGGCAGGAGGCGGAGCGGGCCCGCAGCCCCTCGCCCTAGCCCGCTGCCCTCCACTGGGCACCCCCCAAGCAAGCGGGCCCGGGGTTTCCCTGAGGCCGCCGCCCCGGACCCTGAAGACCCGTTCGGCGAGCACGGAGACTTCACCGCTGACGACCTGGAGGAGCTCGACATCCTCGCGTCACAGGCCCTGAGCCAATGCCCGGCCGCGGCCCGGGACGTGTCCAGTGAGTGCCCTTCCCGGCCTCTTCCCCGGAGGGCAGTGCAGACCGCACCACATCTCCTTGACCGCTGTGGCTTCCGAACTCCAGGCGAGCGCTGCCCCAGTGTCCTGAACTAACACTCCCTTAACCTTCTTAAAAATACAGTAACGCCCCGATTGGAGCAGTTGGTTGTGTTCCAGGAGCTCCCTCGATTTGGGGGAGAAATGCATCTGGAATATCACTTGGAAATATAGAAAGCTAGGTTGACTTTTTTTTTTTTTTTTTTTTTAAGTTAAGGCTACTCGGTTCTTAAAAGGTTCTAAGCAGAGATCCGTGGAACACATCTACCGGAACCATGGCTACCCACGTGCGAGTCTTTAAATCTGAAGCCCTCGTGCCCCTTAGCATGAGCCTAGGAGGAGCCTAGCAGAGGCAACAGATCAAAAATTTATTCTTAGACAAGCTTAATCAGCGCCACATGCAGCCGGCCTACCAATTAACAAAATAGGGCACATCCTGCATGGCGCTCGCTCCGTAGTTGAGTCTCATGCGGCTTCCAGAAAGGTTTCCGGGACATCTTGCCTCTGTAGTTGTTTGACAGGCATCTGAAACTCAACACGGTAATGGTCCGGAAACCCAGGCCTCCTGCAGCGTCTCCCGCGCTATTCCCGCTCGGCAGACTTGGAGAAGACACCTGTGATGACCAGATGCTCCCCCCGGCAGACTGTCTTCCGCCTTCACCCTACCTCTCTTTCCTTTGCCAATCCTGCCCACTTCCTGGGTCTGTCTCTGGACTCCATCCTGTTCCCATGGTCTCTGAACTCCCTGAGAGTCCGCCCCTGCACGAGATTGCTAACCTGGCTCCCCATTCCCTGTGCTGACTGCCTGCAAGTCAGACTTCACACTACAGCCAGAACGATCCTTGCAGAACCCACACTGGGCCATGTCGCACAGACAAATGTGAACATAGCTGCCGGACGTCCTTTAATAACTTCCCTCTGCTTCTAGAATGAAGACCTAAACCCTTAACGTGCGTGGTCTGCCCCGACTGCTAGCCACACTAACTTTGCCTCGTTCTGTGATTGCTCCCTGTTTGCTTCTAATACAGGAACTTTGCACGTTGCTCTTTGTTACACACTGACTGTTCTTGCTAGCCATCTGCCCTCAGGGTTCAGTCCGGCTTGTCTTTGAACCACAGCTCCTGAAGGCTTCCTGAGGGAAGCCTTCCAGTCACTGCGTTTGGCTCAGATGCCTCTTAGCAGAGGCTCTCCTCACGGTTGTAATTTAACATTTATTTGTGTATGAAGACTGTATCTGTTGTGTTCCCCATGCCAGCTGTATTGGCGCTCAGTAAATACTGCTAAATAACGTGACACCGAGCTCTGGCCGGTGAGAGCCCCTCACCACCTCTCACCCTTCAGTGAGACTTGAAATCGGGTGAGGATATAGACAGGGTGAAAAGATCCACTATTTCCTAAGTATCATTTATGAGTTTGAATCCTCCTCTTAGGTTGGGAATTCCCTATATGTCTTGCTTATAGAACTTTCTCTACTTTGCTCTCAAGATTGATTCTTTTCAGCATTTTCTAGCAAAAGTAGGAAAATGTTGGGTGCTAAATTATGTATGGGAACTGTTTTTTCTTTTCCTACAGGTATTCATAAAGTTCCCAGGTTAGATGGGATGTCAAAAACTCCAGCAGGGAAAAACAGAGAAAGTGTACCTGTTAAAGATAATTTTGAGTTAGAAATACTTCAAGCACAATACAAAGAACTAAAAGAAAAGGTAAGTAATTTAACCTGTGGTTTTTGCAGTTAATTCATTCACTTACGTGTTAGAAGACATTGTACAATAAAAGATAAAAATATGAAGGTTTTTAAGAGCATAGATTCACAGCTACAAAATGAAGAACACTGGGGAAAGAAAGCCAGAACATTTAGGCTGAAGAATTATAGATTGTGAGGTTGCTTAGAGCTAGGCGAGAAGAAAAAATTATGGGAAAGGTATTTGGCACAGAACTTTAAGATGCTACTTGGGGCCGGTGCCACGGCTCACTAGGCTAATCCTCCACCTTGCGGCGCCGGCACACTGGGTTCTAGTCCCATTCGGGGTGCCGGATTCTGTCCCGGTTGCCCCTCTTCCAGGCCAGCTCTCTGCTGTGGCCAGGGAGGGCAGTGGAGGATGGCCCAAGTGCTTGGGCCCTGCACCCCATGGGAGACCAGGAGAAGCACCTGGCTCCTGCCATTGGATCAGCGCGGTGCGCCTGCCACAGCGCACCAGCAGCGGCAGCCATTGGAGGGTGAACCAATGGAAAAGGAAGACCTTTCTCTCTCTCTCTCACTGTCCACTCTGTCAAAAAAAAAAAAAAAAAAAAAAAGGCTACTTGGGATGCCCGCTTTCTGTATCGGAATGTTTGATTTAAATCCCAGCTCTGCTTCTGATTCCAGCTTCCTGGTGAGGCACACCCTGGGAAGCAGCAGATGATGGTTCAAGTGCTTGGGTCCCTGCCACCCATGCGG